CAAAGAAGTTCCAGACTAGAAAGAAGACTTTGTATTGCTTGTAAGTTTGTGGAACTTTTGCATACAAATCATTGTTTGTAGTAGCTGTTGGTAATAACTGTTATTGTAAATTGTATTATTGTTTGTATATTAAAACATATTTCTATAAAACAAAGAAAACTGTGTGTATCAATCTTGTTGGCAAATATCATAAATTGGAGATATATCGGCATTTATTTAGCTATTAAATTTAAATTATCGTTTAGCTCGATTTAAGACCATTCGAAAATTTTAATACGTAACAAATGGAAGAGTTAACGTTTAGATTCTCATCCATATAAAGAAAAAATCAAACAGAGAAATCAGAAAAGAAAAGAGACTCAGCTTGTTTCTTAGAGTTCAAAGTGACCTTTACAAATCCAACCATTCTACCAGTTGTTCTAGAAGTTGTTCTGAAAAGACCATGAAGTTGAAAATGAGCATTATATAAATAAGTTAGAATATCATTTGTAGAAAGATCCGTATCAATTTACATAAGAAGACGCTGTGCAGACTTTTGGAGCTGACATTTCGATGGTGGGTCAGTCTAAGCTTGTCAGGCCAAGGAAAAAAAAGTTGGTTTGTTCACCTGAGTGATACCTTACACACTCAGTGAGCTAACTTGTGATTGAAGTTTATTCGTCTTTGATTTTGAAATGCAGATAAGAGACAATGCAACCAATTGATAGTACCCTCTGCCTGATGTGGCTAATCTTAACCAGACTAACTATCACTTTTATAATGCACCAACAGCTGAAAGTACGATAACATCTCGTCTCGAAACGTAGACCTTTGGATTCTCATTCTGATAGAAAGTGATAGAAAAAGCAACATTTATAGTTCTATTGAGATAATGGAATAACAAGAATACCACCACTGATGAGTGTTGATAGGTTGAACAGAAGCACCAGACTGAGTTTGCACGATGAAACTGAAAAACTGCTAGGTTTGATAGAGTTGCCTGGAAGACCTCGATGATTAGGAAATAGGTCTGGGAACCTGAGTCTTTATGACTAGAAAAGAAACTGAGAAGTAGAAAAACAACACAGAAAATAATCGTGAAAAGGATTATTATAGTTTGATTATTGGCACAGAGGACTACAAAAAAAAACAACAACAAAAAACACGAAAACAACAAAAACAATCAAAGCAAGAACTACTGAAGATGAGTAACGCAGCATGTTCACGGACTATAGGAATATTAGAAAAAAATTAAAAAGGCGAAAGCGCAAGAGCAGAAAGAGTGTGCCTTATCTGTATAGAAGAGCTTGGTACGAAATGTGTTTTTGTCTATGTTTTATAGAGTTAAATAGATCTTATTCTAAGATTGACCATCATTCTTATAACACGTGCATCGCCCTAATTGTGAATCACGTGCTTTGTTAGGACAAAATATAGTTGTGAAATTCTATTGTTACACACATCTGATTTAAGGTATTTAATGGGATAAGTAGAGAGGTAAAAAACATATACAAGTTAGCATGATTTCTATCAAGACTATTTCTTGTTCTTTTTTTTAATTTTGTCTATTATAAATAAAAAATAAAGGCCTGAAGAAATATAGTCAATTATATCAGAATCCTTTAATATTAAGAATTAATAAACTATTCTAACAAAAAGGTTTCTTTTTGTGAATTTTTTTATCATAGTTGTCAGCGGTAGGTTTACAAACTTGCAATGCAAAAATCCGGGTTTCGATTTCTTGTAGTGGACACAACAGATAGCTCAATGTGGTTTTTTCTAAAACAAACAAACAAATTATTATTAGTTACGACAATACTTAATTGTACAAATTGATAAGGTTTCCAGATAATTCACGCGCCAAAACTAAACCCTATTGAATTCTTAAGCGGAAAACCGACCATTCAAAGATTGGTTATGATATATTATGCGCATATATACTAACAATACGCTAAAAATGTCGCTAACATTTCCGGTATAACAACTCAAAAATTCCTAAAACCGCAACTTTTTCGTCTACTACCTACCTACCTAATCACCTCAGCGCGGCTAGCTCCTAGACGGGTTGGACTATCGCTGGTCAGTAGGTATCTGCTTTTGATATTCCGATAAATATATACAGATTTTTTATAACTGGTAAACATATCATGCACGTACTTAAATATATTTTCAACACAACAGATGGTGCTACATATCGATCAATAGACAATCTCTAAAGGTAAAGTATATACAGGTATAGCATAAAAAAGTAAACAAACATGAGTATTAAAAAATATGAATTTTAAAATGAAGTAAGGATTACATTTAATTAAATTGTTGTTGTGGTTTTCATTCTTGTAAAAGTTATGGCTACCAGGAGCCCTCCAATGGCACAATGGTATGTCTGCGGACTTACAACGCTAGAAACCGGGTTTCGATATCCGTGGTGGGTAGAGCACAGATAGCCCATTGTGTAGCTTTGTGCTTAACTTCAAACAACAAGAACAGCTTCCAGGGATATGGCCATACTACAAGTTTATAGTTGTTGTATCCCTTTCATGGATATATAAAACTTGTTTCTTTGGAATTAAGCACAAAGCTATACATAATGGCCTATCTGTGCTCTGCCCACCACGGATATCGAAACCCGGTTTCTAGCGTTGTAAGTCCGCAGACATACCGCTGTGCCACTGGGGACCTTAATTTTTCAGGAAGCCGGTCCATTTCAAATCTCTCTTTCTTCCATCCAATAGCAGTTTAGAATGTATAATAGAGAAAAGTAAGTTTTCGTTTTCTTACGCCTAATTCTTTTGCGTCATATAAAAACTGAACAAATAAACAGGAAAAAAATTACAATTTTAACAGAAAGTAAAGATCGTTGGTTATTCGTAGAATTGTTATAAGAAGTGCCTAATAGCGAAATAAATGCTGCAATAAAAAGTACACAAGCAAGTAAAGTGATTCTAGTTGGATAGATTTTAAAACGATTTTCAATCTCTACTTTGGTCGGCAAATTTAAACTGCTTCTTTAACCATATGGATTGATGCCAAACAAACTAGGGATTGAAAATCGTTTTAAAATATATCCAACTATTGTCACTTTACTTGTTTGTGTACTTTTAATTGCAGCATTTGTTTTGTTCTGGGTTCTTCTTATAGCAATTCTACGAATAACCAACGATTCCTACTTTGCGTTATTATTATTATTATTTTAGCTATTGATTATTATGATGATGACAAAACCTTGTCGAAACGTTGTACATTTGCTGTTATGTTAAACTTATATTAAAGTTTTTCTTCATTACCCATTCAAGCCGTCTCCAACCATTATATGATTATTATTATGTTTTCTCCTCACTGAAATCTGGAAGGTATGTATATTCACTTTACATTACTATTAACACTACTAAAAGATGGCTCTGTGGTAGTGTTATATGTAATTATGCAACGCGTGAGACAGACAAAAGTGGGTTGAGTTTTATGAGAATAATTTAAAGTATTAAGATGTTCTGTGAATTCAAAAATGAACCAGTCTATTGTATCAAACTATTTTAAATTTATGAAAATTATGAACACAATGTTTTCAATTAACTACAGAATAGTATAAGACTAATGCAAAGTTTAGTTTGTGAAAGACCTCGGTGATTCGTAGTCGATCGTTAGACGCCGCGAACTGATATCGACGAGTAGACAGACGGAAGTTGCGAAACGTTGCATGGTATCATTGGTATGTTTTTCTGTTTTTTTTACTCCCTAGTTAACCCTAAATTTCAGTAACTTAAAATATCTATATTATAATTTGTTTAAGTAATTGTAGACCTTGTTAAAGATTAGATAAGTTCACTGAAGTCAAGCGGTTTATGTATAGAAAGTCAAACATGTGCCTAATAATGTTAATGTAGTATTATTTGTAATATCTTTGAATTTGTAATAATTAAAAATGTAAATATCAAGAAATAACATACAATTAAGTTAACAACTGGATTTCAGAATTTTATTTGGTTCAAGAATTTCGACATTACCAACAGAAGCGAAAGCCTGTACAGTACAGTATACTGCAATAGAGTATAGTATATTTCTAAGACTAAGAGTGAGCATTATTAACATATGGACAACCAGGAACCATTTCTTTAACTTGTTCAAGTTTGTCAACAGTGTAAACCTCGCTCTTGAGAAAAGTAAAAATTCACACCCACTCTATATTTTTAAGGAAATCATTGATTCCTTATTTAAAATCTTGTAAAGTGTGGGACTCAACTACTTGTAATGGAAACTTATTCCATTAGGTAATAACCCTGTTACTAATACTAGTGTTAGAAAACAGTGTATTAACTGGAGCCTAGCCTGTTTTTTCTAAATCATAAACCCATTTCCCCTTATCATATTATCTTCAGAATATAGTATAAAGAAATCAGAGGTCTTTATATCAGTTCCTCAGATAATCTTGTAGTTGTAAATTTCAGTATGATCACCTCTTACCCTTCTTTTCTTGAGATATTTAATCTGTCCTTATAAGACAGCCCTTCCATCCCCATAATCCTCATAGTAGCTCTCCTCTGAATACTTTCCAACAAGTCAATATTGTTTCTTCAATAAGCAGAACAAAACTGTACACAGTATTCAAGTGCAACAGAACTTCTGATTTGTATCTAGAGAGAGACATAACTTCTGATTTGAAATCAGTGTTTTTAAAGTATAAATGAACTAAATTTCTTTTAGTTTTATTACTAATATTAATAGTAATAACTGAGCACTGTTTTAATTGCATAACTGACTTATCCATCACTATGCCAAGAGGGAAAGGATAACAGGGAAGATCAAACATAGTTGATTTACTAAAAGCATAATGGAGAAAATCAAGGATAAGTTTAAGAAGTTTAATTTGACAGATAAGTTGGTAGATTTATAGAACTATAGGAAGTCTAGGGGTTTCCTTAGTAAAGAAATAATGAAATCCAATAGGTTTTATGAGAAACAGCTAGTTCATAATGTTTAACTAACAACAAGGATTTAATATTAAAGTATGTTAAAGGTAAACAGAATGTTACAATGAGAATTGGGTCCGTAAAGGATGCTCATGGCAAGATGTTAATTGAAGACTATGAGTTGGCTGAGTTTTTAAATGTTATTCTTTCTTCAGTTTTTACAAGAGAAAATATTAGCAATATTCCTGATCCTGAGCATTTTAGAGAATATTAGAATTGTCCTGAATCATGTAGATATTAAACTCTTGGTGGTAAGTAGAAATAATGTGAAATAAAAACATATAAAGGAACAAGGAGAGACAAGGTTTCCCCATGGGTTGACAAGAAGTCAAAGATCAGTTATGCAAGCATCAATTTTGTTTTTGACAAGTTATTAGATAGTGGGCAGGTAACTGAGGATTGAAGAGTTGCTTATGTTATTCCCTTTTTTAAAGGTGGTTGATAAGTTGTCCTGGAAACTATAAAACCATTATTCTTACTTCTGTAGTGGGAAAACTAGAGATTGATAAAAGAAGCCTTACAAAATCATCTCATGAAATATTAATGTAGCCAAGATGGGTTCACCAAAAAGAAATTATACCTTAATAATCTCTTATAAATTTTTGAGGATGTTACTTATTATCTGTATGGAGAAAGGGTGTGGACTTTATGAACTTGATGAGGTGATACAAAAAAAATAAGCTAAGAAAGTCATATTAATAGAGGTTGGAGAAAGACTAATTAATTTTATTGTAGGATGGCTGGATGGCAGAAAACAATACTGTTATTAACACTTTTGCAATTGTCTCGTGCAATTTGCAAAAAATTGGGTCACTGGTACAATAATACATGTAATAACTTGCGGTTTTCTTAATGTATCCTTTCAAGTACTGGTTAGATTTTGTTCAAGATCATAAATATCTTATACACAAAGAATAACATTATTATAATTAAGTGTTTTTACTAAAAAAATATGCTATTTTTATTGTAATTACTTGCACTCAAACTATTAACAATTTGATTGCAAGATGATTTTCATTTTAAGTATAAAAATACCTTTCTTCATCTTATAGTTTTCATATTTCATTTGCATAATATCTAGAACCTCCGAAAATAATATCAAAAGTTTTTTAAGGTAAATGTGTATATTTTGTTTTTGATTTTTTTTATCATATCACTAACTCTAGCTATTATCATCAGCATACAATGCAATGGAATAATTAAAATTAGAAAATAAACAAAAAATACATACTATTTAATTTTTTGTAGAATATCTTTAGAGATTTTCCTTTTGTTAAATTCATAATTTGCCTTTTCCTTTTTACATAGATATAATTTTTAATGTTTTATTTACCTTTCTTGTCCTTTATCACTTATTATTCATCTCAACACAAGTCAGCAGTGTCCTCAAAGTCTATTACAGTTTTTTTGCGAGACATGCTTTGGCAAAATGCTCATTCAGCACATAATATCGTAAGCCTTGAGAATGGATGCAAAGCATGATGTATATTTAAAAAATGTTTAAACCTTTTAATTTTTCATTGTAAAACATAACTAGTACATAATTAACTAAAATATAATAGTAAGACCTAAATACAATTTAAGCTATATCTCTAACTATAACATATTTAGGTAAGAAACAACCATAAGTGCTATAGTCAATCAAGCAGCCAACAATACTATAGTCAGTTAAATGTACTTTCATAACAACAACTGTTGTGTCAATTTCAAAATAGCAGTTGTGAGATTATATTTTAAAATGAGCTCTTTCTAATACATATATGTGTATTTAACATCTACATGTAGTCTATAAAGCTCAAACAAATATGTTGAAGGTGGGCGTGACAGCTGTCAGGGGTTTAAAGAATTTGTTACTTGTTTCAACTGTTTTCATTCAGAGAACTTTGAAATGAATGAGTCAAAAGGTTATTTAAGTTGAAAATGCAGAGAGCCAAAGTAGAGAATTTTCATACCTCGTTGGTTGCGTGACAATACATCTGAAGATTTATATACTTTTTAAAGGTTTGTTTGAAATAAAGGACTTAAAACTTGGAGGAAATAAAACTTTAAATCATAACCTACAGTATAATAATAATTTCAATCACATACATTGGTAGTAAAGATGTATAATTAAATTTTGAATGTAACACAGTGACTTGTGCAGAAAAGCATTTAAAGGAGCTCTCGTTACAAAAGGGTTAATGGATTTCAGTCAAATTAACTTTTATGAATATGCAAGTTGTACATGCACATAACTCGGGGCTTTAATTAGAATTTGTTTTAATATCAATTCATTTTTTTACTTGTTTTTATTTTAGCTTTGTGTTGCCATGTCCTTAAGAACAAAGGTTTGGTCATTGCTAAATGTCCTGTTGAGAGTTCCTCCAGTCTTTGTTATGGATTTCCTGATGAATGCTCATCTAGGACTTACACATTACAAGCCAGGAAAGGATGGCTATCAAGGAATGGTTTCAGAAACTTCAATCAAAGACCAGGATCTTACTTTGATAATTAACATTGATGGGTCTCTGTTGACATGGGTCTTCATTTACATGTCAGGTAATTGAACAACTTTCTGTGTAAGTTTATTTATACAGTGTTTTTTTTCCACAAGTTATTTTTTAAGGGTAGTATAAGAATCACTTTCTAGAGTGTTTTTCATTTCTTGGTGATAATTTTAAGGTCTTGATACATGTTATTGAATTTAATTTTTAATCGTGAGGAAGTATAATCAGTGGAATTGGACCAAGTAAATCAATTTCAGATACCAGGACATCTTGAATCATGACAACAAGCTAACATCCATATATCTATATGACATTTCTTTTAAAAGAACAACTTGGCTCTGAAAGTTTCTGATAAAGTTTAAATAATTAAGGATTTACATACATGGTCATACACTTTACATAATAGCAGTATTTGTATGTGCATAAGAGAGATTAAAGGAGTACTGGGCTATATATGCTACTTTTTTGTCAATTAGGAAAGCAAAATAACTTGCATTTTAATAACTGTAAAGTCTATTTAAGATTTTTTTTTCAAAATTGAAAATTCTTGCGGTATTATTTCTATCATTTAAGTTGAAATTTTAGTGCATTGTTGTGTGTTAAAATATTTTTTTTAACTTATCGCTATTCGTTAACTATAGGACTAAAACTTTAGCATGATTTTTACAAGAAAATATTGATTAAAAGAATAATAAATAACTATGTTTTGGTGTTTATTTTTAATAATATTTTTAAAAAAATTCACAAATTTAACTGCTTTTTCAGGTTTTTGTGCTGCATTTTGTATGTTTCTTCTAAATACCAAGCAACTGTTGTCAGTTTATCTATGGTTAGCATCAACAGGAGTCATCTTGTGGTCTCACATTGGTAATGAAGAGTACATGAAGTATGCAGTTTGTCTTAGGGAGAAAAACAGTAATGTTGGTTATGAACTTTTAACCTTAAATATCCAGGCATTTCTAAAGTTTGGTGGAAACTATATACTTCAAGTATTCTTGGCTATGATTTTTTGCTTCTCAAACAGTACTTTCGAAAATATTCCACCTAAAAGAATGGTAGGGTTGTGTTTCATTGGACCCACGATCATTAGTCTTTTACCTATTCCTACTACTGTTCTTCAGTGTACACCAGTGATCTCATCTGCTCTATCTTTTTTTTATATTATTGTATCTCTTTTGAGTCATGGACGACTAATCGTTGAAGTTATCATCAGTGGGACTCGTTGGTGTAATGATGTGATCAAACATTATGGCCTATACACACTACTTGAGAACCAGTGGTTAAGACTGCAAGTTCCACAAGTGTTAAGAGTATTTTGGATAACCAGGGTTACAGAACAAGCAGTGCTATTATTGGCAGATAACTTACATAGCAGTAACCCAACTTCTAGTGTGCTTAGCATGTTATTTGACAACTCCTTCACTATTACAAAAGAGCTTCTGATTCAAGGTGTGAAACCCTTGTAGCAGTGCTAGGAATGACAAGTGTAGTTTCATCCATTTCTCATTACATTGGGTACAGTGTGCAATATTTTCTACATCTTGAAGATCCAGAAGATAGGAGTATTGGAACTGTCTCTGCGATTCTCTTCTTTATTCTAGCTTTGCAGACAGGCCTGACAGGAATGGAACCAGAAAAAAGATTTCTACGGCTTTATCGCAATGTCTGTCTTCTTTCTACAGCAATTATGCACTTTATTCATAACATGGTGAACCCACTTCTTATGTCACTGAGTGCCTCCAGAAACACATCCTATAACAAACATGGCCGTGCTCTCAGTGTTTGTGCATTTCTGATTATTTTTCCCTGCTGGTTTCTAGTGTACTTGTGGAGTAAACACACCATAAGCACATGGCTCCTTGCAGTCTCTGCATTTAGTATTGAAGTAGTAATCAAAGTTGTAATTTCTCTTCTAATCTATCTACTATTCATGATTGATGCTTACCATAACTCATTCTGGGAGAAACTAGATGATTATGTTTACTATATTCGTGCAACTGGAAACTCCATAGAATTCATTTTTGGAATATTTCTTTTCTTTAATGGTGCGTGGATACTTCTGTTTGAGTCAGGTGGAACAATCAGAGCATGCATGATGTGTATCCATGCATATTTCAATATATGGTTGCAAGCAAAAGCAGGATGGAAAATTTTCATGAAGCGACGATCAGCAGTGAAAAAAATAAACTCATTACTGGAAGCCACAGAAGATCAGCTGAAAAACTTTGATGATGTTTGTGCCATCTGTTACCAGGACCTGAATAATGCAAGAATAACACGGTGTAATCATTACTTTCATGGTGTCTGTTTGCGAAAGTGGCTCTATGTACAGGATTTATGTCCATTGTGTCACAAAACTTTGTACAGTGTAGAATATGAAGAAGCTCTTCTACTTAATGATACAGAAAGCCCTGTAGTAGTAAACAATGAAATTATTCATGGACATCAAGATTAATATTATCATAATTTATAATACTAAAATATTTATTTAAAATTGTAATTTTTTGAAATGACTGTTATTCACCACATAATTGATATTGCTTTTTAAAAGTCCTGTTGAGCTAATTGTATATTAAAGAAAATTAGTTTCAGTATGGCACTATACTAAGTATTGTGCTTAGGAACAAACAGCTCAAAATTACAAGTCTACTAATTATATATTAAATGTTAAGTTATGGCCTGCTTATAATTTTCAGTTCATTTTTTCACTAACAATGATTTTTTTTATGGGAAACCAAATCCATTCTGCTTCATAGGGTGCTCAGAGCATTTTGCCTGATAATTAATACATGCAGCATTAATGTCTCTAATTAAAAAACTTATTTAAATTTTCATTTTCAATTTGTAAATGAAATTCGTATTTTGATTTCTCCTTATTTAAATATGTACATAATTGCCAAATGTTTAAAATAATTTGTAATAAGTTTTAAAGATCCTATGCTGTATATACAAGTTTAAAGTTTAGCATTGAAGGTATTTTGCATGCTATAGTGGGTATCTATGATTAAGAAATCTCTTAGTATTCATTATATTCAAACATATTGTCATTTAAAGTTTGTATTTCACATAAATGATTTTGTAATCTTGTCTTGTGTCATTTCTGACTTAAAGGTTTGTTTAAACAAGTTGGTGTCTTCAATAAATTAAGATGCCGAATAGTATAGATTAGTTATTCAAGATAATTTTAGTTCCCCCACAAAAGCTTGCTTTTGTATTTCTCTACTTGTTTAGGAACTGAACTTGAAACTAACAGATTAATATGTAGAAAGATAACACAGGTATATAGTCAATTTATGTATAATTTAATCTTCAGTTCTTAAAGCTTTTATTGTTTATTACAATTACACCTGCCATAGTGTTTTTATCTATAAAAGGGGTCCATTCAGACCATTTAATAAGAACGTTAAGATTTCATTAATGTTTATTTATATAAGGCACTTGAAAGTATTATAAATGGATCAAAATACTGTTGTAAGTATTAGATGTACAAAAATAATAGTACTAGATAATGAAACAATTAGAATTTTGACATTATATCCTTGAACCTATGTCATAGAAGCCAATGCTTAGTAACTGTATCAAAGTTAACTTAATTCTGTATGTAGAGAAAAAAAGATTTAAAGTGCAAATATATTTTATTTAATGTAGATATAGAGTCCATTTCAAGTTTTTAAGAGTCCACATTTGTATATGATTTTGATGTCTAGTGTCAGAACTGGCATCTTCAGGTAAAGGTATGGATTTATAAAGCACATTTGACAAAATGAATGGCCATATTACAGCAAAAAATTAGACAGTATATGTAAGTGTAACATGGTGTTGTATAATGCCTTGCTGTAAATTAATTTTTATTTCCTCAGAACAATTTTAAGGGCATAAACCTATTTCATAAACAGTGTCCTTTCATGCTCTTATAAAATGTTTTCGTCACTTGGGAAAATTTTGTAGTCTGATATGCACATGTATATCACTTCATATTTGTTCAGTTTGTTTTTGCACACATACAACAAATAACTTTTTATTACTATAAACATTTACTTCTTTGTAGACTTAAGTTATGATTCCCACAACTTGAAAATAATTGGTAAATCACAACTATTTTATACAATTAGTGCTACTCCAGCTGCATATCTGTAAAGACCTACGAACTAATTACAAAAACAATGATTACTCACCAGATTGTATTGTAATACTTCTCCAGTTGGGAACTTGGACTGGTAATATAGTTGTATAGTTACCCTTTAGTTGATAACCTATTACTGGCAAAGCTATATAGTTATCTTTAATCCATAACCTTGATTAATGGCTAGCTCATGTGGTTTATTTTGTAGATACTATTATAACATTTCAAGTCACAGTTTTTGTGTCAAAATAAATCATCTTTTATAATTTTCTTACTAATTGTATATTTATGTATTTTTTTTTTTATAATTAATTGATGTCCTATCTACCCCTGAGAAAGGGAGTAAAATTGTACTTTACCAGGTATTCTAAAAAAAGAGATGTAAAGTAAGTATTTAAATATTTACACATATTAAAACTTATTTATTTATTTATTTGAAATATAAAGAACTCAACTTATAAATAATTTTTGGTTAAAATTTTAATGTGATTATTTAAAAATGACCATTCTGTTGAATGATGCGAGAATTAAAGAATTGTCTTTAGCAATCATACAATTGGACCATTTGATAATGGTGTTTGTGAATTTATATTTTTATGTGCAGTGAATATTGACTTTTTCTCAATAGTATTACAAGAATTTAAAAATTGTTCTTTATGTCTGAAATGGCAAGAAACATTGTTCTTTAATTGTGATGGTGATTTAATCTTGTGATAGAGAGGGAAAAAATAGCTTGAAGTTTTTTCTTACAAAACAGTCATATAAACAAATTTACATTTTTAATTTAGTAGTAAGATATTAGAATTTTTATAAGGTCTTTAAAAAAATCAGAAGCATTTATCATACTTTTATTTCAATAATACACAAGACATCCATTACAAAATACACCATCAAAGGCAAATAACTTATGGACTTTCATTCATATTGGTACATTTTTGTACTCTCTGAGGCTTCAGAGAGTTAGCTAATGGTTACTAGAATGTGTTATCCTTGCTGTTTAAGATACTAAATTGCACAGTACTGCACATGTTTTAAGCTGTACTCATTTTATATTTCAATTTGTCAAATGCTGCAGTAAACTTATTGTCTGAGAAAATGCCAAAATGGATATGGATAAACCTAGATGGTGTGACACCTTAGCCAAGTCACTTGTTAAAACTTTAGTAAATTTATTCATAATTCTAATTTCATCATTCATATTTTATTCAAAATAATGTTTATTGACTTGTAAGTCAATGCATAGTCACTTTATTTGAGCAAGCATTTTTCTTAAACCTGTGTGTGTGTGATGGTCATAAAAGTATACTTATTAGTTTGGACATTTAACACTTGGGTATTTCAATTGTAATAAAAGTAAGTTAAAATAATTTGTTACTGTGTAGTTCTGGTTGTGTCTTGGACAAAAGCAACACACAGTACAATGATAAACATGGATTACTTTTCTTTGTGTTGCTTTTATTGTTCTTAAAAATTAGGTTTATCTTAATTTTCATAAATGCCTAATTATTTTTATAGCTTATTACTTTTTTACTTTAATTTTATTTCCAGTGATGTTTAGTTAATCTATTTTATTGCACACACATACAAAAGATGATATTAGTAGAAAAGAATTTGTTTATTTTTAATCATTCTTCTAGAATGAAGGTTGTAACAGATTATTTTTACGAGTTATTTTACAACAAACTTTATAAACTTAATGAAGCAGCAAGAATTGTTTTGACATGTACAAGCTATTCTTGAACATTTTTTTGTTAGATACAGAGTCAAAAAAGTAACATAGGGAGACGGAATGCTTCATTCATTCATTTCAAAGGGACCTGCAACAGCTGTACTGGCAATACAGCTTCAGCTATAACTTTCTACAAAAATAATTACATAGGTTCTTTTACCTCCAATGCTAACATGCACACAATATCTAGAATATTGATGCCTAGTAAATTTGCTTTTTTTTTTAATAACTTCTACATTTTAATCTGCATGCCTTTTTTAATTTCCTGTTGTTTCATGGGAGATAATTCATACTTATTACTTGAATAATTAAACTTTTATTTGAATTAGAAACGTAAAATATTAATCACTTTTCCAGGTTTACTTTGCATCAATCTTTCAAGAAAAAAAAAACAAATTTATAATGCACTAAAACCTTAAAAGATTTCGTCTTGGTAACAAATAGCAATCTAGGTAGAGAAACATTTTCTTACACTTACCGTGCAATGACTACATTTGAACAAATATAATTCATTTTTTAGAGATTAAAATAGTAGTATAAAAGACATACTTAACAGTCTTACTAAAATATATACAATGAATATATATTATACTGCTGACTTTTTTATTTCAGTTCAGCAAGGATAGAAACAGATTTAACTTTTCCAGATAGCTTTTATCTATGATTCTCTGCTTACAGCTATGTGATAGAGCTAAACCCATACTTTTTTTTTATTTGATTGTTTAAATGTTTCCTATGATATCATCAGAATTAAATATTAGTGTAGCCATGCTATAGAAAAGAGTATTTAATTGAAAATGAGAACACTAAAGATTGATACATGAGGGGCAAGCTTCATTTCACAACAAGAACTTAGAAGTTTGTGCTATAAATGACTAAAGGAATGTGATGTTGTGTTGAATAGTTCTTTCAATCAACCAACCCATCTAATGCTTCCAATATAATGATGCTGTCACCTTGAACAACTTGTAAAGAATTAAAATATTTTAATATAATTATAGTTTAATACAAACTTATTTATAAATATTCACATAAGGTAGAACAACAATAAACTGACAACTTATTGCATTAAGATTTATAAGTGTACCAATAATTTAGTCTGTCTGTTTTTACTTAAGAAGTACTGTTTTATAAACATTTTTTCCCACTACATATTGAAGGAGTTTTAAGAGGCAATTGGATGAGTGTTTTGGAGTTCAGAGTGGATACAGGAAAATATTTTCTAAATATAATTTTCAGTAGATTGATAGTGAAAAATAGAATAGTCTAGATGAGCCACATGGCCCATTTTTTATTCATTGGAAATTAAATAAATCATTCAAATTAAGTTCCTTTTTTTATATATGCCAACAAAAAGATAAAACTATAAATGCAGTATTACTTTTTATACTTCTATAGAATAAAGAGTAGATCAACTCGGTGCTCTGGGAACAAATCTTTATAAAGAGAGAGCTATACATTTACAACCACACTTTATACTTATCTAATATTAATTTATTCTAGACTTTGATGTGATATATATTGTTTTAATGTGCTTTTTGCACTCAGAAGTTTTCCATTAAATATTTGGAAAAAAATATAGGATAGTAAATAACAAACTATTACAAGATTTTTATTCAAAATATTGTGTGTATCTTTATATTTTGCATGCAATCTTCCTATCAACACTTCACACTTTTCCATTAAAAACATAGGATAGAAATAAACTGTTATTTGATAGAAACGGGTATACACCAGAAAACTGGCTGTAAACATAAAAATCAGTGCACCAAATATATACTTCTAATCATTACTACATTATGTTTTTCTTCACTTTTATTTTCTTCAACACTTTCATCTATAACCAGGTTCATGAAGAGTTCAAAACCCACCTAGAACTCCTGTTACACTTCTCTCTTCATTAAGCTTCATTCATTTTGTTAAACTGGTGTTTAATGTAATACAAATCAGTTGAAAAAATTAATCCAGTTTTCTAGATTATGATAAATACAGCATTTCAAAATAACTTATTAGCATTTAATTCTATGTGTTAATTTTTCAAAATTCAAAAATTGAAAACTAGCTGTAACAGGGTTTGCTTATAAACAATAAATAATTTTTCATCCATAAACTTGACACCTCGTGGTGGATTCCTGTATGTGGTGAGGGGACCTCTAAGAGAAGATTCTGTATTTTCAGTTTACCTCCTCTGGGATGTCCACCCACATGTTTGCCGTGCAAGGCGACCCATGAATGGGAGGAGAGGATCATGGTGGTTGAGGGGTGTCAGTGGCAACACACCACTTTGGCCTTGAATTCCTGTAGACAAGTGGTCTTGGGGTGGTTCTCCCAGGGTCAGTCGGCTGGTCCTGTTGGGCTAGGGTCAACTAAGTACCAGTGTTGGGCATTCTCAATGGGTGTTGTGGACATTGTGTTTGATACTGTTGTTTAGGTATGGTACTCACAAAGCCCTGGCATTGTAGTGTGTCCCCTCGTGGGATTCCAAGTTGGGTGGGGTCAGTGGGCACTGAATCTTTTTGTTATGGATCTCCCATATTCTGAAAAAAATAAACCAATAAAAAAACAGTTAATAGGTAAGCAACCATATTTAGAAGACTTTGAACAGCAGTCTCCACCCCATTCTGCACCTGTACCTCATTTTTTCATCTTGTATTCTTTATCTGACAAACCTTTAGGGCAAATGTCTCTCTCTTTTTATTCAGAAGGAATTAGAAGAGCCTGCTGACTCTCCAAAGTCAGTGAAGAAGCTACATTCTGGGGAGATCTTGGTGGAAATGTCTACACCAAAACACAGTGAACTCCTCCTGAATTCGAAGGCCATTGGGGATATACCTATTGAGGGTACTCCCCATGCTACTTTGAATTCCTCCTGAGGAATGATTATTGAATAGGGATTTACAAAACATTTCCGAGTTGGAGATCCTCATCGGATTCTCCAGCTTAGGACTTTCTGCTGTGTGACGTATCTCCTCTCATAAAGAGAGAATTATGCTGCTTATCAGTGTTCTTGTGTTGCCATTTACATCATCATGTCTGCCTACCTCTGTCAAGACAGGTTATCTAAACCGTAAGGTATGACCATATATTCCTAACACTCTCAGATGTTTCCATTGTTAGTGGTTCAGACATTCAAAGGCATCTTGTAGTGGTTCTTTGATGTGTGCTCGTTGTGGTGGTAAAGACCAGGACACCTATGTGTGTCAACTGGACCCTCACTGCATCATTTGTGGTGGTTCCCACCAATCTTACTTTAGATCTTGCACTAAGTGGGTGGAGGAAAAATAAGTACAACATTTACTTACTGTAAACAACTTTTCTTACCCTGAGGCTTGGAAATTATTGTTCCCTGTTCCATCTAAGACATATTCTGCTTCTCTCCATTCCACTGTTACATTGGGGGGGTGCAGACAGGTTTTTCTGTGCCTCCATAAGGTCTTTTGCTCTCTGTGGATACTAGAGTTGACAAGTCAACACCTACTCCTGTCACTATCCCCACTGTTGCATCCAGTGACTGCTTGGGTCCGTCTCCATTGGCCTATGGGTTTCTCCTTACCAGAAAAATTCCTTAGACCTGCTGATACTATTACCTTTGTGCAGTTTTCTTTATAACAGAATGACAGGTTCTGTGATGGTCGAGTCCATGGAGGTGTGATACTGCTGGTTGACTAGCATGTACCCACCTTGTCTGTGCCACTCAATACACCCTT